GCCAGGTCTGGACTGGGCCTCAGATATTAGTTTTTAGTTTAAAAATTAAAAAGGATGGAAGGAAATGGGGACAAAAAGAGAAACAAGTAATTACTTTAAAAATGTTTCAATCCATTCCTCTCATTTCAGAAAAGATTTGGAGCATGTCACAAACCCAAACTCATGTTCTTTTTAATCTCACAAGACACATCATTTGAGTGCATGTGTGAGTTTGTGTGAGTCTGTGTGTGCTTCCGTGCTGTTTCCGTATTTATGTACTTTGAAGAACATCGCCCCCCCATGTTGGACTGACATGTTTCATTAGGACAACTAGGTCAGCATGAGATCGGAGGGGGTGTGCTGGGTGGGGGGAATGCAAAGTGAGTTTTCGAAGCAGWCTAGAAAGTGAGCGCAAGACGTAAAACGGATGAGGACCTAGGTAGGAAATGAAGCTGCACAGCGGCATTGAGAAGAAAAGACAAGGGTCCGAGATTAAAAAGTGGAAGGCTGAGAGGTTGTATTTATTTCTTTCATTTTCCCAGCTCAGATCCAAGTATGATTTGAGTCTAATTCTGTATGAGTTGTATCTTTTATTAAAGGCACATATGGGACTCTAAGCAATCCAATATTCACGAACCGAGGCATGGCACTAGATGCAGAGAAAAGGTTTAAATGGTTCAGTTAATTGAATTCTTAGCCACAGTGAGTCCTTCCACCACAAGGGCTCAGAGTTTTTACTCTGTCAGGAGATTAACATTCTCTCAAGTGGGTTTTTTATACCTTTTTAATTTAGACTTACCTGCCAAGGTTATTCTCTCTTTTTTTGTTACATTCTTTATCTGTACATTCTTCTTTTTTTCTTTCTCTCTCATTTCCTGCAGCTCTCCAGTTACAAACACCAATCGTCTTCTGTTTTCACCTTACATTTAATTTGGCTGCCAACGCTCAAGCTTTGTAATGAATGCCGCCATGTTCAGTTTTGTCCAGATGATCTCTCTTTCTTTTGTCCCGAACGCTCAAGCACCTGCAAAAAGCACCTCACATAGACACTCTCACACACATGCGTACAAGTGCAGCCTGTTTCCCCATAGCCTGAGTCAGACATCATAGGCTATTGAGTGGTCTGAAGGCAACATAAATCACTTTTTGATCACACTGCTTGCTTTGAAGGAGAAAAAAAGCACAAAAACCTTAGAATCACTTTAAATTAYCAAGGTTAGATTTAGTGCTTTCAGATTAAAGTTTAGATTCTCATTTTGCCTCTCTTTATTACAGCGTTTTGTTGTAAATATCACTTCTTAGTCATTCACTTGAACAGATACTGTATCCACAGTGACACTCAGTTTCTGGGAGCCGTGTTTGTTTGTTAGTTTTTTTTTTTCTTGTCCATTATGGCGTAAAACTGTTGTTTTCTTGACGAAACAATTTGTTTGAGATGAAACTGTTTTTTTTTCTCACGTATTTCTAAAGTTCCTGCCTGAGTGCTCGGCGATGTCTTGACAGTGGTTCTACATTACTGCTCTTACATCGATATGATGGCAGCAAATGTGCACTGTTGGTTTGCTTTRTGAGCCCCCCCAAAAAAAGTCAGTGACATTTGCACAAACGCGCTCTGACAAGCACAAAAGCAGAAATGTTCATGAAGATATGTTTGGGCTTTTACACACTTTAATATAACTCTGGGATACATTTGTTTATCATTCTCTACTTTCTTTCTTTCATTAAAGTGGAGCTCCCAAACTATTTCCACTGGGTCCCCCTTTAGCTAATGACACACACCCCATCTCCCACCCCAACTCCCACATCTCTAACCAAACTCACAGATGTTTTATTTTCAAATTGCTTTGCAGTTTTTTTCCACATCTCAGCCTTCTTTAAACAATTGAACTGAAGTAAACTGATATAAATAACAGGTCTGAATAACATGAACTACCTCTTTGAAATAACGAAACAACACACCTTTTTATAGTATACTTATCTAAAGTGTAACAGTTTTTTTGTAACAGTATTCAACAGCTAGCAAWAAATGAAACGTAGAGTTTGTAAAATGGTTTTGAAAACATGAACGACAACCTGAGAGAAAACGAAAAAGAAAAGAAAGTTTTCTTGAGCAAAAATGACACTTTGTATCACATTGCATTGCCTTGCTGCTGAAAAGTGCTATATAAATAAATTTTTACCTTTCCTTACCTTCAATCCTCCTTATTTGAGAAAACCAAATCCGACCCTAAAAACAAAAAAAGCTACACCTCAGTCAACATTTTCATTATTGACTACTAATTTTGTGCAGAAAGAGCTGAGACGGATCCCAAACTCATATTGAGAATGCTAACAGA